TCCAAATTTTGTTCGAGACAGATAATGTAAGTGGAAATGAATAATTTTCGTACTAAGAGCTAACAAGGATTGCAATACATACAATGAATATCAAGAAATTTAAGTTTTAAACAGAACTTCAGAAAATATGAAATGTTTGAAAACTCATTTTAATACGTTTTAGGACAAATTACAGAATAATTTCAGACTTCGCATAATATTTATAAAAATTTTCTACAACATACCAGAGACATTGCTGAAACTCGCAATATACTATAAAATAACTCGAAGTATTCCTGTCATTTCGCTTTGTTTTGGTAACAAACTTCATAGTATCAGTGAGCTCATTTACATGTCACAACTAGACTTGTGTCAAAGCTGAACATTTGAATTTTATGAATTTCCTTCCATATGTGATGATTCGAGTTTGGGTACTTTTTTCCATCCTCATTTGTACATTTTAAAAGATTATCTGATGCATAAATAAAATTTAAAAAAAAGAAACTGTATCTTCTCTGTAAACATTTACCTAGCTAAAATTATTAATTGAGCTTGACCGTTATTTGTGATTGATGTCGAACAATCAAATCATAAATGGCCGATATTATCAAAAAAATGCAACTGTGTAATCAATCCTCGTTAGAGATTGTATGGCTTTCTAAAAATTTTAGATTACCAAGAGTGTTTTAGTTTGTCTCTCTTATATGCAAAACTTTATTTATTCTGAATTGTATGTATCGCCTGCTTAATAATTTATTTATAATTTGCTATCAGGAGGGCTTTGCCAAGTAATAAACTACAAAAACACATATTTTCTCTAAAGATGTTTGACATATACGTATATGTGTGTCCCACTATAACCAAACAGTGAAAATTTCCTTACAAGTCTTAAGATTTTACATTTGGGTAATTCATACATTAAGATGAATATCGAATGAAAACTATAAAATGATGTCTAACGTTCACCCTTATTATTTTTTTTCTGCAAGGATTCAAAAGTTGGAAACAAATTATTGATGATAACCTGCTTCAGGTTTTTGAAGAGTAATTTCTCTATGACAGATTTATATAATCGATAGTTAATAATTGTATCAAGTATATGAAAAAGAATTGTTGTCTTGTTTTAGTTAAACAACATTATAATGGAACAACGACTTTTTATTGTGCTAATTTGCAGTTTTCGATAGTCGAAAACTTCATCTTTCAGGAATTTTCGAGTAAGGGAGGTTGAATAGGCGCAGATAATCGCTACGAAGTGCCAGCTAAATGTACACAATATATTAAGCTATTAGCTGCAATTATTAAAAGAATTGCTTCTGGTCCCCTTTTTTGTCCACTGTGGAAGGGAGCGAGCCCAAATTTCTACCACTATACACTTCAACACTCCTTTTAGATCGTGTTTCACAAAAGTGAAGGAGCTCGCCTCTTAGTTAAGAGTAACAAACTTCTTTTCAATAACATCGGTTTTTGTGATGTTAATAAGTTTAAAAATTGTAGCCGAATTGATTTTTAATTGCTCATTGCTGCCAACTTCTCAAAATAATTTAGCTGAGGAACGGTCCATGACTTAAAGATTCCTGGCTACGCCACTGCCTGTGACATCCACATGTATGTAATTTCGTGGAGAATCAAATGCTGCATTGCTCAGAAAATATTCAGTCCAAGTCTATGAAAAATAGAGAAGATATTGGGAAAAGGCGAAGACCCTCATTCATTGTAGGCCATTCCTTAGTCTCAAGAAAATCGAGTTTGAATTCGGGTTCCCTACAACTTCTCTCGCCCTATAAACCAATGTTTGACTATCATAAAACATCGAACAATCACTTCTCTCACTGAGAAATGTTATTTCCCATTTCCATCAATCAGATCATAGGCAAACCGAGCAAAATTATCCATTCTTCAAGCTATCCTTTTGGAATTCAGAATGACTTTATTTCACTGTTTAACAATGTGAAGCATAGAAATATGCTTTTGTTCGTATCTATATAGAATAAATAGCTAAATATAGAGAAGAGACTTGACACAAATGGTACTGCATTTAAA